CTCACGTGGGACTTTCTGCAGGTTCTCACCAAGGACTGTGAGCACGAGGTTCGGTCGAGGATCAAAGAGGCTGCGATTGACATCAATCTCAACCCCGTGGTGATGAAGATGTGCAAAGAAGACGTGAGTAGTTACATTTACTGAGCACTGGTGGGAGAAATTATATTGATGATAACAGTAATGATAATGATAAAAATAGTCATGAAAATAATAATCGTAGTGCTAATGATACTGGTACTGACCTTAATCTTGGTAGGAGTACATAAAATTATTTTCCTCTGTGCTACCAAAGATAGTGAATAACAAGATGGGCCACTCAGCGAAAAAAGTGTCCGCAGGAAGTATGCTCTTTGCTTCAGATGGCGCTGCAGTCTGTTTTGAAGCTCTCTTTCGTTTTTCCAGAAAAAGAATAGGAATAGCACCTCCTTGCGTGCGCAGATCGACTGCTGTTCATCAGCACTTCGAGTACGTTCAGTGCGGAGTTTTAGTTTTTAAAAATTTTAATGACCTCTCGCCTTTCATTCTAAAGTCAAATTAAACGAAGAAAACCATCACCCTTTCCTCCGGAAGAGGTTTTTTGTCAGTGTAACCATTTTTAAAAAGCGTTCTTCCGAAATTTATCCCAAAACTTGCTAGTTTCACTTTGATTTTTAAAAACTCAAGTAGGGTAACTCTGTTCGCAAAGAGTGCGCTTTTGTGAAGAGGGCGCCACCAAATTTTGAGGACACTTTTTTAATTGGCTCAAAGAGAGAAGTGGCCCATCTTATTATGTACTATCATTGGTGCTACTAAAGAGATACTCAGCCCCCACCAGGACAGTGCTACTGACTAAAGTCGTCTGTAGGCCATTCCCAAAGGGGGGGACATTGTCATATTCTTATGCACTGTAGCATTGTAAATGGGCTGATTTATCAATGTCATGCTTATACTGTGCCGGAACACTGATTTATCAATGTCATGCTTATACTGTGCCGGAACACTGATTTATCAATGTCATGCTTATACTGTGCCGGAACACTGATTTATCAATGTCATGCTTATACAGTGCCGGAACACTGATTTATCAATGTCATGCTCATACTGTGCCGGAACAACATGGGGGAACTGCAGCCTTTTCTTTCCTCATCCTTACTATTGTCATTTTCCCTTTACTTCATTTGTATGTTTGTCACTCTTTTGTGAACTGCTATTTCCTGGGTGCCTTGATAGTCGAAGCAGGCTTTGTGCTGTTGAGGCAAGAGAGGTGAGCAGAGTAAACCTGATTCCCCGTTTGGACTTCTCTGTTGATATCCACGGTGATCCACCCCTTGGCGCTCAAATAACCTCATGCAGTTGCGGGCGCTGTAAAACCTTACTAAAACAAAAGAGATGCTCAATGTGCAATCAGAAATGGCTAAATGTTTTGATAGGGAATTGCTTGTTCTATTAAGGGGGGGGGGGGGGGGGGGCTACTCCTGGAGGCTATCTCACTTATTACTGGACCGAATTTTACCAAATTTCACACATATAACAAGTATAGTAAGGAGTCTTAAAATCCGCAATCAAATTTGAGAAAAAAGTTTCGTTTCCATGGATACGCCACCATATTGGATTTTATTGACATGTCTTACGTAATGAATACCAAACTTATCGCTCATAGAAATTGATTGTTTTTTTGCATGCTGTTTACAAACATTAGATCTAAAAATTTGTCTGTTGTTTTTTTCCTAATCGAATATGAAAATTTTTAATGAATTTTTTCCTAAGGTAGCATTCAAGTTTGCGAAAAATCCGTGAAAATCCACACTCCAGACACCACCAACAAAAATGTATTCCATATATCAAAATTTCAACAGACAAATTTTTAGTATTACCTCTTCTCTTCATTCTGTGAAAATTTCATGAAGATTGGATGAAAAATGGTGGAGTTATTCAAAAAAGTATAGAGAAAAGTCTCATTTTGAGAAAACGGCCGATAAGGAAAAATAAAATACTGACTTTATGAGGAAATGGCGGTTACAAACATGCCCGATATGGAAAAAAAAATGTTTTTTGGGGGTTCTTATGCCATGAAATAGATGTAGGAGAGGCTGAGGAAGCTAAAAATGCCTACAACTCAAATTCCATGATTTTGAGCCGAATTTTGATTTTGGGGGTGTAGCCTCCCCCCTTAACATTGTTCCCCTACTTATTCCTAAAGAGATGCTCATTGTGCATTCAGAAATAAAGCTAAATCTTTTGATATGGAATTGTTGGTTCTGTTAACTTTGTGCCCCTACTTGTTCAGAGTTTCAAAATATTGCTTTCTGCCCCTCAAATGTCTCTGCATTACAAATTGGTATAATTTGAACATCGATTTTTGCTTGTGTGCTTTTATTATTTGATTTGTCCATAACTATTTGTTGGACTCTCAGACCATATCTTATTTTCTTTTGTTCCTAATTTTACTTTGGATGCTTTTTGATGGCTGGTATAACTGAAAATTTCTCTTTTGCTTTGGCAGATTAAAAAGTCTTGTTCAGACAAAGTGGCGAATGTAAGGCATATGTCGGTAGACTCAGACGATGGCTACGGAACATACGAAACCTTTGGCCATGGTGCTGTCATCGAGTGCCTAAAGAAAAACTTTCACACTCTGAGGAATAATGATTGCAAGACGGTGAGGGAGTTCTGCGTTACAAATATGTAGAAAAGTGACATCTGAAAATTGTTACATGCACACATGCGTGCGCATACACAGAAACACACACACAGACACACGTACACACACACACACACACACACACACACACACACACACACACACACACACACGCGCGCACACACACACGCACACACACACATATATTCTTAGATAGTATGACAGTTTCATTACTGTTGTAAAATATGCCTAGTTTCACTACTAATGTAAAATATACCATCGAGCTAGTTCCGTAATTTAGATTTTAGTAGACTTACTTTTCTCTTGGGCACTCCATTATTAACATAAATTATAAGGATTATGAAATAAATCACAGTGCCCTTTTACTGACTCTGTATTGGTTGTGGTGTATCATCAGGAAATCGCCTACATGATCGCTGAGAGCCGTGTGGATGTGCACATAGATCCCCTGCTCAACTCGGCCTGTCAGAAAGAGCTGGTAGTTCTCTGCAGCTCTGTGTCGCAGGGTCAAGGCCGCCGTAAGTACCCGTGTGACAAACTGGTCAGCTAGTGCTCATTGTCAGTTCCATATCGTCGCTTGCAATCCTCTCTCTCTTGCCCTTTTTAACTCCCAGTGGGGTGGCCATCAACTACATTACTCCAGCGAAGCCTGTCCTGAGCATCCTTTTCTAGCTGTTTCCATGATGTCCCCACTTTTTCAATTTCCGCTTGTACCGCTCACCTCCATGTCATCTTTGGTCTTCCCTTCTTACGTTTTTCCTTGTGGGTTCCACTTTAAAGCCTGCCTGATGATGCTTGTCGGGGGTCTCCTCAGGGTGTATCCAATCCGTTTCCATTTCTTCACCTGTATGTCTTCCTTTACTGGCCTTTGGCTTGTTCTTTCCCACAGTTGAGCATTAGTGACTCGATCGTACCACTTGATCCCCTCTATCCTTCATAGGCATCCATTTACGAAGCTCTGCAGTTTCCTTGCTGCTGATGCTGTGAGCCTCCATGAGCATGCAATCCACTTCTGTCAAAATTTTGAGAATTTTCAATTTTTACACCCTCCCCAAGCTTTATCAAAGATGCACCTTTTAACATCACCAAAATGCAGTTTAATGCTTTGATCAAGGTCTTCAATTTTCTTGCTTTTCACGGTTCCTGATAGGAACAATACAACAAAAACTAGGGTTTTTTTTTGTCTTTGGTGTAAAAAGTACCCAACCAGACAAAAGTGGACAGCGTGTGACACTGACGATATTATGACATGTGCCAACCACAAAAAGCCGTAATAGGTTTTAGTAGTGCTTCTCTGTACTCAAGCAGACAAAGGAAGTGGGTCGTTGGCGGGTGCTCTGGTGTGGTTTGCTTCTTCTTTCCTATCGAACATCTATCGTCCTCATCTCCCCGTCTTCTTTTTTTACGTTTGTTACTCTCTTGTAACACCTCTAATCTTCTGGCGCTCATACGACCTTCTGCAGTTGCGAGCGCCGTAAAACCCTCTACTAAAACTAAAACTAAAAACATCTACTAAAACTAAACTAAACAAAGGAATTCAGTAGTGTTTAAAATGCTGTGCCTGTGACAGGCAAACAGATACAGTCGAACCTGTGTAAGACGGAATCGCAAGGGAGCCAGAAAAAAATTCTGTCTTAGACAGGGGAATTTAGGGGGAGATGGAGGTTTGGGGCGGGGGGGGGGGGGGGGGGGGGGTAAAAGGCCCCCCCGGGGGAAAAAAGAATCCTTTTCCCAAAAACAAAGTGGGGGCCAAAAA